CACATAAACAACAGCAACTCCGACTAAACTGAATACCAACCCTTGGTTCTGGGTCGGTCGCTTGGAGAAGAAGGACGTTTTTTAACCGCGCCGACCGGCGGTAAGTTGGTAAGTAAGTTGAGTCTTCCTCGCAGGGACCGCGGGAAGATCACTACTACTTACTCACGGGCTGGGGAGGGAGGGGGATAGAGGTTGTGAGTGGTCGGAAGTAGATGATTACGGAGAAGTGACTAGAATCTAGACGAGAGGGATTGGGTCGGTGGGAGGTTGGAGATCAAACCAAAGTGTGGGTGGGATGAATATGGATGGATGGATGGATCCATGGATGATGATGGGATGGGATGGGATGGATCGGGGAAAATCAATCAAATCGTTGGGCGGGCGGAGCGGGCGGGTTAGTAGTGATGTTGAGCTTTTTCCGTTTAAGGAAATCGGCTAGGGTTGATTTGATTCGATCAGATCGGGGGATGGTTTTTTGGAGATAGCAGTATCGTAGATTTTATTTTTTTTTATTTTCATTTGAATTTAGTTTGGGGGTTGTTTCTGGCTCTGGTTCTGTTTTCGCCCCCATCCTTCCTCCTTCTAGTCAGGTATCGGAAGTAGATGGATGTTGGGCGTTAATGGTAATAGCAAACGTCTGTTATGGGATAGGGTTGTTGAGTGTATGGTGTATGGTGTATGGGGATCATACGAGCTCAGCTGAATGGTGTGTGCGCCCCCCCTGAGGCATTCTGGGGGATGATAGGTAGGAGGGCGCAGCACCCAGCGACTATTGGAGTGGCAATATTTGGAGCTGGATGAGGAGGCGGAGAAGGAGAGAAAGAAAGCTGTTATAAACAATCTATTTGGAACAATAGAGCTCCCCCATCCATGCATAAATCTGCATAGCTGACGATCAAACCGGGTGCGGGAAGAAGGGAAAATCAAACCGTAAATCTGAGAATAGCTAGTCAAGCTCCTCCGTAGGTTGGTTCTGGTAGAAGGGAAAAAAGGGAATTTCGCACCTCAACGCTTCAGCTACATATCCACACCACTAGTACAAAATAAGATCTATGGGGGGAAGTAACAGAATAATACTAATAATATCGGATACTAATGTCGCATCATTTGGGCAGAAGACAGGGGGTGTGGGATGAATGAAGAGGCGCACCAATGGTTCAACATCATTCTCTGTTTTCTCTCTTTGGCTGAACGCACTAATCCCCACAGTCGTATATTAAGGTCCCCGAAACAACCGCATCGGTTCTGTTGGGCATGCGACCAGATGGCCGATAGAGTCGGCAGGGGGTTGGTGATGGAGATGGGAATAGACGAGACAGCTTTAAAAATAAACCTGACAGAGCTTTGTAGATTGCTTCACTAAATTGTAATGTTGGAGGTGGATTGTTTCAGCTGTCAGGATGCTATACCCGGCGGCAGTAGTAGTTAGAGAATGCAATATAATACAAATTAACCATAATCAATTTTAAATGCATCCATACATTTGACTGAGCGTTGTGCGTGTGTGCCTGGGGCTTAAATCAATTTCGAGCATTAATTGTTAATATTGACGATCGCTTGACTGGGCTCGTCTGCCTGCTTGGCAAACTGACGTACCCCGTATCTTGGGTCGTGGTCAGAGGGGGATCCATGGATGCGCTGTTGGAACTTTAGTTGCTCTATCTGCAGCATCCGCAGCAGGTTCGGATGCTGGAACCTCATTCGATGCTTCCACCAGAATAATATGCCATCGTGGAGATTGTGTAACGGTCGCCCAGGGCTCCACTGCCAAGCCCCTCATCCTTGACCAATGGATCGGAAAAGCGGAACATGCTCGAGCCAGAACAGGAGGTAGTGGAAAAACTTGGATGAGTGGTAACGAGATGAACACAGATCGGTTGTCGTTCACCACACGCCCCCCATAATGCGAAGGGCGTAAATCTCCTAATTAGTCCGTCTGTCAAATCAGGATGCAGGATCGGGGATGGAACTGAGGGTACGTCACGGTGTGCATGTCGCGAGTGGACGGAAGTGGATTAGCGGGGCGCTAACAACCAGAATTCCAAATCAGATGTAAAAAAAGATCAGCGGTAGTTAATTAATGCGAGAATCTCTTGGCCGGCAGGGCTCCAGATCCATTGCGCCGGCGGTGACTGGTTTCTGCTGCTGCTTCTTCTTCTTCGTTTCCTCACTAGGCCATTGTTGGTTTTGGTGTTGGCATTGTCGTCTACTCCGTATTGTCGAACTCCTTTAGTTCACTGGAGTATTGGGTTTCCCCATGGTGCGACTGGCACGGATGTAGAATGTATTGTTTCATGCTATATTTGTTCTGGAACTTGGTAAGCGATTCAACGTCACAAGAAAGTCCCAAATTTGGTCCTGTGTAACCCCCGGAGCCTTGTGTCAGAATATGCCCAACCTGGTAGGTGTGTATGGGTATGGGTATGTACTGATGTGTAACCCATGCGTCTGAGAGATATCTACATAGTCATGCGTACTTGATACGAAGCGTAGGATGTTCCCCTACCGGCCAACGGCCGTCAGAGAGGGTCACTGGCGAGCCAACGTCCTCCAGGACGAGCTGCATCATCCTTTCCTCACCCTTGAACTTGACTCCACCCAACCTTGACCCCAGCTGAATCTGCACCGCCTACCGGTAGGCGAGCAGGAGCTGGTATGCTCATGCACGCATGGCAGCGCAACAGTGGTGCGTGTGAGATGTTAGATTGGCTGAAACAGACCACCAGTCGTGGGTATGCAGTGCGTAGAGCACTGGAGACACTCCATGAGTGCCAGTGCATACATAATACACCACACAGAGTGGATTACAGCTCCTGCGTTCGGTGACCCCGCCGATGCCTTCATTCTTGATCAGTCATGGTGATTGCCTGATCGGCATACGTGCAGCGCCGTCCCCTTCACTGGGTGTGGCTTGGTATCCGTTGCGAGTGTGGCGAGTCAGGTTGGGAAGGAGAAGCCATGTCTCCGAACAGCACGTCACGATTGGGATAGCCCAAAAAGCCACTAGTGAGTTGGACACCCAAGTCCAGACCAGGAAGGTCGTAGTGGCACACATCTCGAGGAAAATGGTGGCGGGAATGGAGGGGGAAATAGGAAAGGCTGCTCCATCGTCCTTATCGTTCGTCCTTTTGCGCTTCCCTTATTTTTTCTTTTTTTTTCAATTTCACTTTTGTCTTTTCTTTTCTTTTTTTATTCTGCTTTCCTTCTGCCTGTTCTCTACTATAGGCTGCTTTGAAGCCCGCTTCTTCGGGGACCGCTCGATTGCTGACATGACAAGAAAGCCATTGGGGAGAATGAAGCCCGTCGGATTCCCCATCCCCCATAACTCTCTCGTACCGCGGATGGGTCCCAAATGAGACAGGCGGTTGTTCAATTTCCAACAAGCTTACTTACCTTCTCCAGGCTGAATGCTTGCGCAAAGGCAAAAACAACACAAAAAAAATAAAAGTAAATAAATAAATGTATCAAAACAAATATCAAAAATACAAAACGGGACAGCCCTGCTTCGAGACCGTTAGCGACATGTGCGTAAACGAGTAAAGAAAGGGAGGGTAGAAAAGGAAAGGGAGGGGTGCTGGCGAATCAACCCAGTCAAATCGGAATCCACCAAGTCCCTGGGATAAACTTTGTCTGGCTATCAACCTTACCTCCCAACTGGGGCCAAGTTAACGTAGTAGTACTTCAGTGAGAGGAGGAGGTGATGGTGGTGGTGCTGGTAGTGGAGGGGGGAGAAAGGGTAAAGCCTTCCGGCCATTGAGAGCACTTCCATTGACATTGGCCGTTATGCATGAACCATCACGACTTCCAATATCCACCCCCCATTCATTCGCCATGCCAATCCCGAAACTCCAAGTGGAAGGATTGGATCAGACAGTCGTCAGCTGTATTCCTAATGGACCTATCCATTCCACCTTTCCCGTGGAGATGGTCTGCCATGCGCCAACGACGGTTGGTGGATGCTGTCCGGTGTTGCTGCTGCTGTGTCTCTGTTCAGCCAACCTTGTATGTATGTATGTATGTATGTATGTATGTGTGTATGTAGTATGTGGTGGTAGTTTCCACTCCCTTCAATGTGAATTCGGAAATCATTCTTATTTTCTTTTCCAACGACCCATATTCCATTTTAGGCCTTTTTCATTTTCATAATTCCTGAAAACCCGGGTTTTCTCGGTCTCTTCAAACCCAGTAATGGCGCTGTCACGCTGCCTTCCCTCCTTGAACCTGCTCGTGTCTCTCCTATGCAGTCTCGCCTCGTAACTTTGGGTCGCCCCTTGCGTTCTGAACCTCAGATTCCGCGGCTTTCACGGGAAGACAGGAGCTGATGACAGCCAGCCACAGTCACGGAGGATATGCGGCGTTGTTCCAGTGGATCCTCGCCCCCTATCATCCTCCTGGGCTCGTCCATGGGCGCAACGGTCAAGCCTGGCTGGCGCCCAAAAAAATAAGCCTGCCAGATCCGGAAATAACATCCCCCCTCCAGAATGGGTGGGTGGTGGCCGCGTCGAGAGAAATTTTAGTCAGAGAAACGGTAATCGGAATTTACAACTTAAGGAACAGAAGAGACGAGTTATTTGAGTGGGAAGTATTATTAATGTATCATTAAACGATCATCTGGTCGATAGCGCAATGTAACAACCAACAGTCATGGGGTATTATTAGATCCAAGCTCACAGTACTTTCCAAAGGTCTCCAAAACCCAACCATATACATGCAAAACAATGGACAGCACTCCTCAATCTCCTCTATACACAATGATTAACCCCATACCCAGTAAGCCAAATGATGAGCGACAAAGAAAATAAGGGAAGGGAACACAATAACTATGACAAAAGGAGATCCCGAATGCTTTTTTTTGGTACCGTAAGGAAACCGGGCCGTATCCACGTGACCCGCAGTGGAAATAGCCGAGCCGAACCATCCAAAAAGACAATATACATGAGGTGATGATATAAGTACAAAGGAAATTATGCCAAACAAAGGAGTGACGAGGGTCGGGAGGTCATGTACATAAAATTTCCCATAGAGAATCGATGACAGAAGAAAAGTTCGTTGATCATATCCAGCAATGGTCGCTATCGTCATTTAGTTGAGTAAGTTCTGAAGACCCATCCGCGAGTCGCGCGGGGCTTCTGTCTTGTCTTCGATCGGAGCAGACCATGTGGGAGATAGCGGAGAGTGCTGGTTCCATTGCTGGTGATCGGAGATCCACCGTTGCTTCAACGAGAGATCGTGGTAGGCATAGATCTCATCCGAAGTGCTCTGCCTGCGGAAGTCGCCGTATTGCTGTCTCATGTCCACCGGAAGGGGAAGAAGCTGTGGCGAGGCGATGGTCCTGGGAGAGGAGGAAGAGACGGAGTTGTGGTCCGAGATCATGGAGGGAGGCTCCATGGAAGAAGCTTCCGAGAAGGCAGGCGAGGTGAGAGGAGTTTCGACAGGACGGTTAAGAGCAGGAAGTGTGTAGATCGGGGTCAACTGGCGGGGGCAGTCGATGGAAGAGGCGGAGAAGGAATCCCTCCGAGATGAAGGAGACTTGGTCCAGGAAGTCAGAGGTCGGTCGTGGGAGATGGAAGAGTAGCGAGAACGGCTGATGGGGCTGCTCAAGCCCAGAGAGGCCCGCGCATATGGGGCCTCGACCCGTCCGTGCATCGTGCGTCCGGCGTGAGGTGAGCTGGAGGTAGGGAGGCCTCTTCTCTTGCGGTTCATGCTGCCGTTCCACCAGTTCTTAACTGCATTGTCGCTGCGGTTTCCAAGGCGTCGTGCAATCTCGGCCCAGCGCTTGCCCATTTCGTTGACCATCCGCTCGATCATCAAGCCCTCCTCAGCTGAGATGGGCTCACGGTTCAAAGAGGGCTTGAGGTTCTGGTGGAAGCGCTCCCGGCATTGCTTGGGCGAGCGGTAGTGCATGTGCTGAGAGATGCGGACCCAGTTGTTGGGGCCTTGTTCGCGAACCAACTGAAGGAGCAACTGGTCCTCTTCGGGAACCCAGGGTCCACGACGATGAGTGGGAGCCATTGCAAGTAGTTGACAAGGAAGAATTAATCCGAGTGAGGTTGATGGAAAGAATTTGGGTAGTTGTAAATCTAAGGATGTAATGTTAGACTCCAGAAATGCCAGGAGGTCGGAGAGTTTTTAAAGAGAGTTGGGGACAGTCGAAGGGGGGCGCCGACAAAGTTCAGGTACTATGCGTGGGCGGGGAGGGTTGACGTCTTTAAAGGGAACAGGGCTTCTTACCGTGGGGTTGGCTGTGTGGGAGGTTTAGTGTACCCGGAGCGGACTAGACCAGACACACACACAAGTGTTGTAATAGACACACACGCGGGTGATGGATAAGGGACGAGAGTAGGGTAGATAGACAAGCAAGGAGGGAGGAGCAATGACCACGCAACCGAGCTGTTGGGTTATGTAGGAAGTAAGAGTGGGAAGTTGGGGAGTGAGAGTTTGTTTGATGATGGAGAAAGAATAAGGTTCAAAGGTGCGTCGTCGAGGTGGTAGATATATAGGAAGAGAGGTGAGACCCGGAAGGGGGAATTGGAATTAGAGAAAGGGCGATAGACAATAGTCGTGTCAAGGAGTGATGGAGATGAAGGTTACGATCATCTATTATAGCAACAAGCAGCAGCAGCAGAATACAATGACCAGGGAGACGGGTCAGAGAAAAATGGCTACTGCTCCACACTTAGAGCACGCTATAGGAGAAGATCTGATCCAAGATCTCGGAGCTGACAGTTGTGTCGGAGGAATAAATTTAATAATAATAAATGCCAAATATTATTGATTTTTTTTGGAATTGAATTTTTTTATTTTTTGTGTTGTGATGATTTTATTTTTTCCTAAATTGAATTTTCTGATTTTCGATTTTCTGACCCCCCTCCTCTTTTTTATTTTTTTTTTTTAATTTTCCTGACGCCCCAGTCAGTACCCGCTCGGTATGTATGGTATTCTCCGTATAGTTTACTTTTAGTACCGCAGTATGCGTGTAAATTACACTAGTCACTGGTAGTAGTAACAGGTAGTCCTTAGTAGGGGGGAAGCTAGGTATTAGGCAGGTACCACCTCAGGTAGCCTTCCTCAAGGAGGCAGAGCTAGCCTAGGGGCACAGACCTACTAGGCTAGTCCATTTGATTAAATTAGATTGACCTCCATCCATAGCTCTACTACTACTGCCCTTTTGACGCCCCAGGCTGTAACTATATGGGAGGCACTGCGGGTGCGGGCTATATGATGACAAAAAAGAAAATAAGAAATAAAAATTAATTCAATGTGTCTGGACTATAACCGATCTTTGGAGGTCAAAGTGGGGAAATGTGAGGTTGACGGACAACTTCTTGCAGTATCTCTTTTGGGTAATTCAGACCCATCAATTGACAGGGGGGGGGGGTGAAGAGAAGGAAAGAATTGCAAAGCAACCACACAACCAACGGAGGGGCTGGAAAAAAGGAAACAGGGCAGCTATCAGGATCAGTTGCAGCAGTCTCAGAAGCTGGCGTTTCCAGATCGTGGGGAGAGGATTTGCCACTATCCAATACCTACTATAGGTGCTAACCAAGTAGTGACTGATTACTTACCAGAGGATCGGTGTTGCAGCAGGGATCATGGATGATACTATTCTTACTGGCGTGGTGAGGCATAGAGATGGATACTCTACAGTCGACTTGATCCTTTTTCCTGCAACTAATTTGCCCCCGTTCCTCTCTTTTGTCAAAGAACTGCGGTATCGAAGAACATTGTGCAAGAGACAAGAAGCAGGCTGAGACGTCCAGGGGAACCCATTCCATGAATCGTATCTGTGGCAAGGCTACCCTGGTTGACACGAGTGCCATCTTCTTACGGTGTGCCACAAAGGGCATCTAGCAAGCATGCTATCCAGAATGTGATTTTTTTGACTACGGCGTTTCTCGGACATCACATCCTGGGCGGTTGATCTACCCATCCATCGTTGATAGTTTAATCCTGTTGGTGACAAAACCCTCTCGATAAAGACTAATTGCCTTGACCGGAAAGAATAGTAATGGAATAGATGGATGAGAAATTCCAACTTTCCGCATCAGCCCAGCTGATCCGACAGATAGGCGCGATGAAACGGTACAATAATAGCAGCACGACAGGGAGAATTAATTAAAAATTTGTGGATGCTTTTCAAAACACAAGAGGGAGAAAAAGTGCGAGCAAGTCTACGGTACCGATCAGTCGGGCGTCGACTAAACGGGAAGATCCCAAGCCTAGTTGGTTAGTTCACGGCCCTTTTCCGCTTCTTATGGCAGACTGCAGACCATGGGCGATCTATCCACCAGATCCAGTTTCGACTGCTACTACGTACTAGGTAAGTATGGGTACGTATGGACTGGCCCATGCTCGTCAAAGTTCAGGCCCTGACAGGAAAACGGGAGCGGCAGAAACGGTCTGGGAGGTAGGCGAATGAGGATAGGAGTGGTCATACTGACCGGATGGGTTTCCATGGGTCAGTCAGGCGGGGCGGGCAACCTCGGAATTAGAAATTCTGATGGAGGGCAGAGGAAGGAGGGAAAAGAAGACACAGAGAGCAGGGGACAGGGAAGTAGATTACCGATTTGAGCAAGATGCGGGAAAATGACAAAGAGCACCCCCGAGTGGTTGCATAATGGCGTTAAGGTGTACCGAGATCGTGGACAGGCGCCCGCACAACCCCCCCCCCCCCCCCCCCCTTCTTCCTTCTCCTCCTTCTCCCCCAGGCAAGTTGATAGGCAGAAAGGGCCATTGTAGGCAAAGGATCGAGTCATGGGCTTGTCCACTCTAGGTATACATTGCACTTCATCTATGATTATTATTATTGAGATGACAATTCTTGTTTGCGCATTGTTCACAGCTACCAAATACTGGGTAAATTTTATTCTTCCTCCCCCCAACACACCACCATATTTACTATTGCTTGCAGTAATTTCATTCGAGACCATGTCCATCAGCCAGCCATGAACACTCTTTTTATTTTTCTCCCACTTTTGGCCCTCGAGTAAAGTACTAGATTCTACTACAATACGTAGTTAGCCCTCAGTAGTAGGAGGAATTTGTAACCCTCCTACTTTTGGCCTCACCCTTGGCTGGTGGCGCCCATTGGCCGCCGCTAACCCTCATCCGCACCGGACGCAGGCTTGATCCCTCCTCCACTCCCCGTGGGCCGTTACCCAGAACATGAACCGTTTGAGTGGGGGCAGTGATTGGTGCAGAGCGGCTAGCGCCCTTTGAAGATTTGGAATCTTTTGGCTTTGTCTCATACCCGGTAGGGTTGGGATCGACATGGGGATCGTACGCAATCTCGAATCTGGGCCGGAGTACCTTCGCGCCGGTGCTACCGGCTGCCAGGCATAAGGCAAGCGCACTTACCAGAGATTACCAAAGATCGGACTCGTTCTCACCACCGAGTTGTTAGTCATCTTGGTCATAACTCCTTGAGGTGACCAATCATTACGGCATATTGCCTCGGATATCTTTTCTCGCTTTCCATCGTTTTCTTACACACAGATGCTAACTACGTACTTACTAGCCCACTCGATCTGAATCCCTCTGCACCAGAGACACGGGACCGCTGTCCCGTCACCTCGGTTCATTGTCGTTTTTTTTTTCTGCATCCCCAAGTCGATCAGGTACGAAGATAAAGGGCTTGAAGTCGATTGGCTCAGAACAACGCAGTGGATGCCCGTGCAGTTGGCTCAGATAGGTACTACTACTTTTACTACAACCACTAAGCAGTGGATTACTACTATTCGCTCAATTGGGACGCAACGCTGAACCACATCTTCATTCTCCGTATAGAGTAAACGGAAGGGGAAATGGATGGGAGAAAAATTGGGCTACTACGTAAGTAGATTTCTCAGATTCATCCAACCAGCACCCAGGATACAAGTTCCTGACTCACGTTGACCTGCAGGGTTCTATCCGGGAGAGGGATCCGCGACGAGACTCGCCATTGTAGGCAATGCAACAGAAGTATGATAGATCTCATGGAATCCTCAGGTTCCCCCTTTTCGGAATTGCCCATCAATGTGGCAGAGTGGCCTTCTGCCTCGTCATTGGCTGTTCGCCTTGAGCATGGCCCTCCCAGCCAGGTACTAGCCTCACCCTGCTCTGCAGCTATGGAGTGCGTACATAAATTAAAAAAGCCCCGTATATTGTCCTTTCTACGATGACTTTGGTCACGATCATCCGGGGAAGGTCGGAAGATTCCAAATGATACGTGACCAACGGAAAGTACCAGTGCCTTTTATGAGGGGTTACCTGTTTCCCTAAGCCAGACAGAGTAAAGTGCTTGTCAGCTCACCACGCCGGTACCGTCCCGCTGTCATACTAAGCGGTGGGAATGGATGGGGTCACTCTCAAGAAGCTAAAGTTAACCATCCAAGACTATGGGTTTACTAGTATTGTTCGCCTGCCATCCATCCCAAAACCTTGCCCTCGGAACTATTGTTCGATCGGATACAACGTTGCTGCGATTGGGCGATCTAGGTTGATCACTCTGTGCTCGATGTAATGCGCTTGGCGAATCGAAGGCCCTGGTAACTGGTAAGAGTTAGTTAGTAGTGTGTCCTCGATTCCCAGTGGCGTGGGAAGGGGGGAACAATAAACTTCGTCAATTGTTCAAGACGATCGGATCCAGATCATCGTGCAGTCGTCTCTGCAGGTCTATCATCTACTCTTCTCGTCCAAACTATTAGCAACTATGAAGGCATCGCCATGTTTTGCCATGCGTCGTTTTTTTTCTTGCAGTAACTATTGTTCCAGGTCACCACCACCACCCTCCATCGGCGTCTCCGAGAAAATCTTCCAGGCTTCTATTTTCCCTGCCTAGCCTCCCCCCGAACTGATGGAATTTGATAAAGATTTTCTCCGGATGAAGGGGGAGGGGGAGGAAATATTCGGGGTCATCCGATCTGTATTGGCTGGATTTGTCTTGTCACAGACTCGCTCACTCTCACACACTCTATTACAGCACAGAGCAACAAATGGTCCCCCTCTCCCGCCTTACATCGTTTCGGAAGTTGTGACATACAGATTCTTTTACTGGAATGCTGTGTGGGTAACCTACTGTCACCTTCACCGGCTCAACGGAAATTCAAAGCTCCATTTTTTTTTCTCTCTTAGCAAAGCGCGGTTGACAGAGGTTACTCGCTTACAGGTCACCAACGGGAAAGGGCAAAAAAAGGCATCTCAGGGGAAGAGAGTGCCACGAGTCAAGCCGTTGAACGTCATCAAATCATGGAGTGCGCAATGGGGAAAAAACCTACAGCATACTTCCTGTAAAGTAAGGATGGAAGCGTCAGAGCTGTGTGGACGGTTAGAGTGTAACTTCACTTGTTTCGGGCCTAATTGTCATCAATACCGCCAAACTGGTAGTACCGCAGCCTAGTTACTGAGGTATCAGTTACCAATTGGTTCCTCAACTCACCTAAACAGGCTAGTAAGCACGAACCCCTGAGGACCTGAACTGCATGACGTGACGAACCACTGCCCCATATTGGCAGCTGATTGGTCTGCCAAAATAAGGTATTTGTCATTCTGGAAGCGCGGGGCTAGTCCCATCTGGGTAATGATGATCGCGGACTGGGAGGGGGAAGTCTAGGGAAAAAGAGCGATCTCGGTAGGCCTTTGCGACCTCGTCAAAAGGACGAGGACGCACTTAGATTAATCTTGATTGAGGCGAGATTAATGCAATTGACAGGTACGATCTGGAGAAATGTAATTGATGGTCTCGGCTCGCCATAGTGTTTTAGTTATGCTTTAACGAGGTTCTTTTTTATTTATTTGTTTTTTTTTTTTTTTTTTTTTTTTTTTCAAATGGACAATAGCATTCTCCTTCTTTGGATCTTTTAGTCATTTTCTTTTTTTCCACCACCCCCTCTCTTTGCCTTCGCCTCCACACAAAACACACGCGCACACATACTATACACACAAGCTGAACAAAAAATCAAATCATATTGTGGGCCGGACCGCCAACCAAATCGCTCATAAGCATCCCGTCAACAAACTGTTGTGGCCCAGTAATTATTAGTGGGAACTGGAATACATTTCCACTACGTTAGATACTTACTATAGTACACAACCATTTACCCTCTATTACACAACTTACATTCCAGGTCCCCGAATCCTGCCATCCTATCCATGTCAACAACAACGTCCGTTAACGTATGCTCCCGCCCGCCTAGGCTTTACTTCGGGTATACATGAAAAGTAAACTAGCATTACCCCGGTGATTTAAGAAATAAGAATAAAACCCGCTTGGTATCACAAGAAAATCACAAAGTCTCCCCCACGACCCCATATTACGGAGGGCTTTTTGACTTCAATAAAGAATCAGGGGAAAGATGGTGGCTCTGAGCGGTGTCAAACGCCATCTACATCGTGGGAGTGTTACAAGCCTGCCATGTGGACGGGTACTTGCGATCTGCCTACTTAACCTCGTGGTACGGAGTACCGTGTACCAGAAAACGAACAAACGGATTTACATACATAGTTTACTTTACTTACGGGGAACAATCCATACATCACTTTACTTACGCAGCTTTTTCCCACTCGGTTAGTACTATGTAGTTTACTACGTACTACTAGTAACTCTCCATTATTTTTTGAATGTACTTCAGAAACTACGTACTAAACTACTGGAGTCGACATACGTACGTCATTTTGTCAAAGATGTTACTTACAAAGTACCAAGAGGATTCGATGTGTGATCGTCCTTTTGCAACACCACAGCGGCCCGCAGAAATATATATTTCTGAGGCAGATGAACAACTACTTACTACTACTATACATATGACCGATCCAACTGTATTGAACACCGCACAGACTAGCTGTAAGGTACCATCACTACATACATTAGGATAAATAGTAATAAATACTAATTCCATCTTAATCGCGACCACGACTACTCCAGACCCAGCTGGACGGAAGCAAAGTAAAGAAGGAACCCGTGTGTAGTGTGCACTATTGAATTGATCACGAAGGAGGGGGGGGGCCACACAAGAAGTCTAAATCCTAGTAGCGATGATGTACAGTGCTACGACCACCTTACTAAGTCACCTACTAGGACTACTCTGACTTGCCCGGTCTAGTCTAACTACTTTGTTTAACCCCGGTCGATGGTCCCCGATGTACCTTGGCCTTGGGTTGCCAATCAGAGACACGGGAAGTATTTGAGATAAACCCTGGTTGACCCATACTTTAGCGTGCAGCACCCGGGATTCCTTGATTGATCTCCCCTGCCACTTGCCAGATCAGGAATATATTCAGCAGTGCCTGGCCACTGAATATATTAAATCTTCAGCTGTTGCTCCACGATTAGTGTTGTTTTTTTTTTGAAGGGTGTAAGATGTTAATTTTGGTACCTGTCTACTGGGCGCTACTGATTTAGTTGAATATGATTTTCGTGTGAGAGGGGATACAAGGCGGATTTTTGATTAATATATTTTTTTTGGGGTACTACTACTAGAAGGTCAATAGAGTATGTAACAGTGAAGTTCTAAGCGAGAGTGCGACCGCGCGACCGACTTTGTGTACCTCCACACACATACGCACACAGCGTCCGCAGGACGTCGTACAACCGTCAAATCAAAAGGAAATGTAGTAATGAGAGAGAGAGGGTGAGAGAGCAAGACAAGATAGATGGGCAGGGATCCCCGACTGCAGGACACCGTATGGGGGGGTCAGTTGAAGAGTGGAGCGAACGGCTCTCTCGCATCCCGCCGCTGTTTCCTGACTGTCGGGCCTCCAAGTCTGCGAACCTCAGGAGGTCCGAGCACCGCCTGTCAGTTAGGGAGTCTTCTTGTTTTCCGTGGTTTGAAGAGCCAATGGTATTTCAGTATTGAGACAACAACGAGTTTGCTACTACACTGCTATTCATCTTCTTCCTTTGTTGGTCTTGACGCTTTCATGAATCATGCATGGCTGTTGAGTTGATAATTCTTCCGCGCAATATTTTATTTTCATTTCTATTTTCTAATTCTTCCTTTTTCCCCTTCCCTCCCATGCGTTTACCGAGTCAGTAGACCCCGTTTGTGTACCACAGTCCCGACACATGCCCTGTCGATTTATACCGGTTACGTGGATTTCAAACCAGCGCATGATTAGAATCGGGGATTATAGTACCTGGGAACTTTTTGGTAAAGGATTCATTGTCTTCATTCAGTAAGAGTAAACAGGAGGGTGTGGTCGTAAGTTACCCTACATCGTCTTAACTAGTGTTGAGACATTCTCGAGGATAGGTCGAGTCCGTACTATGTTGTTGCATCCTTCTCAACCTATCATCCTTGCTTGGTGGCACATACTGTTCTTTTTTGATTTTTTATTTCTTCTGAATTTATTCCATGTATCCGTTTTCCGTATCCTAGCATTTGGGTCGCCTGGACCTTGATCCATGGTCAAAATAACGGTCAAACCCGTCCCGTGATAACCAGGATGGATCGAGAGATGGGCGGTTCCAGATCTAAGGTACGTGTATGTATTCTGTCGTCCTCCTCCTCACCTCACTTCTGATGTCGGAGAATGTGGAATCAATCCCCGGTGGTACCCAGTTCAAGGACTCCATCGTTAGCTAGCTAGTATGGAGTAGATGGGT